CAAAAACAAAAAATATACGTTTTGTAAGAACATCATGAAATTCATGTTTGATAAAATAAATTAATATTTATAAATATAGTGTCATAACATCAATCAAATGTTTGACAAAACCAATCTATCAAGTCTAACTAAAAAATGAACAACATGGAATATGAGCCAAAACTACTAAAACAAGTAAATTGGAACCATGAATATAACACAATTTCNAAAAAAATATAAAGCAATTACATAGAATACGCAAAGAAGTAAAGATAGAGAAATAAAAGATAAATAAATAGTAACAAAGAAAAATATAATTTTAAAATTTTAAACGGAATTAAAAAGTAAAATAAAATTAAAAATTAAAAGAATAGAAATAAAAAGTTATAAAGAAAATAAATTAAAATAAAAACAAAAAGGAAAGAAACTAAAAAGCAACCTTGTAATTACACAGTGTAATTACCACCAATTCTCACCTCCCCCTTGAGAATTGGAGAGTGTAATTACACCACTCCAATTACACCCAATTCCATGCTGACCAAGTAATTACTTGGCCAAACAAACATGCCAAACTGTGTAATTACACCCAAATCCATTTCCAAGATAGCTTTCCAAACAGGCTCTAAACGTTAAGTGAATTCTCAAGTACTCATAAATTTTCATTTTTTTTTTCTAAATGAAGTTCATCTTCAAATATAACTCAACTCTCAAATATTATTTCTCAATTGCCTTTTGGTGGTGTTGAAAGTATAACTTGGGGACTTGTTGAGCCAACAATTTGCCCACTTGGAACAGCTATTCTTTTTGTATCCGTTGCAAAAATGAGTTAGAAGTCGCACTTTATACATGATTCCAAGTAGGAGGGGCAAACGGGCGGGCCGGGTCGGATATGAGAGGGTCGAAAGCGAGTAATTCAAAAAATAAATAAATTGTTCGACCCAATTCATATTTAATACGAATAAAAAATGGGAATTTTTACATTCCTATGCCATATAGGAAACTATATTACCCTCAATGTTTAAGGTTTGATATAATTACATTTAATATACCTAATTACCAATTATATACCATTAGTGGTTTTTAAGGGTATTAATTACACTCCTAATTTAATGGTACCTTATATTCCTTCTAATACCACTCCCCCCCACGTTTCTCTCTCCAATTCCCACACCTTCACCCACGTTTCCCTCCCACATCCACGATTTCTGTATCAAAATCCCATTATTTCTTCCATAGCCAAGGCTTTGAATTCGAATTTGGGTTTTCAAAAGACATTGATTGTTTGGATTGGATGTTGTTGCAAAGATTTGAGAATTCTCTCTACGTCTCTCTCTATCTCGCAATCCAAATTTCAGTAATATAAGAGGAAAGGAAAAGAGAGCAGCAATTCCACCATTGACAACCATTAAAAAGCTTTGAAACTTTGAATTCTAATTTAGGTTTTCAAAAATTATTATTTGTTTGGATTGGGTGTTGTTGTAAATAATTAGGAATATGGTTTGGAGTTTGTATCTCAATTTTGAGGGATTTTGGTGAAGATTAGACTTGGTTTTGGCTGAATTTCAGATTGAAACTCGAAGAAGAAGAAGAAGAAGACGACATGACATATATTATATTTGCAGAAATTATAGATAAACTGTAGATAGTTTGTAGAATAATTGTAGACTGTTGTTTATTTATTTTTCAGCTTTGTGTTTTTGTGTTAAAAGTTTTGATGGGAGCTTGTTATTCCACTTCGTCTGTTTTGGAGCTAACTTGTGCAGAGGAGAATATATTTTTTAAGTTATATATATTGCTATACCTTGAAATTCAAGAAGTATGGTTGTATTGTATTTAAAGAGGCGTGAATTTGTAGAATAGGTTGAATGTGAGGAATGAGTCAAATAAGACTCACAATGACTTGTTTTCTACATTTAATCTACAACAAAACTACATATCATTTGAAAAATTAATATAAAAATATAGAATTTCAATGTTTCTACAAATTATCTACAAAATATCTACAAACTGGGTACATTGAATTTTAATATCTCAATTCTTATTCAACTGTAGCATAATTGGGATTTTCAACATAATTGCGTTTTTTGCAGAAGATTTGTAGAAGTTTTAGTCGTTTTTTATTTGTAAAAACAGAAAACAAAGCATCTACAATCAGAATACAAATAATCTACAATTTATCTACAAAATATCTACAAACTGGGTACATTGAACTTTAATATCCCAATTCCCATTCAATTGTAGCATAATTGGGATTTTTGACATAATTGCGTTTTTTCGGAAGATTTGTAGAAGTTTTAGTCGTTTTTCATTTGTGAAAACAGAAAATAAAGCATCTACAATCAGAATACAAATAATCTATAATTTATCTACAAAATATCTACAAACTGGGTACATATTTGGACTCGACATGCTTCCCCTGAAATGTATGTTTCACATTTTTGATACATATTTTTGTCCAAAACAGTACTAAATCATCCACTTAAATACAATTTTTATACAATGTTGTGCAATTTTCATACAATAGGTAAATGAATTAAAAGAAAAATAGATAAACAACAGTTTACAATTTTTCTACAATTTCTGCAATATAATGTATGTCATGTCGTCTTCTTCTTCTTCTTCTTCTTCTTCTTCTTCTTCTTCTTCTTCTTCTTCTTCTTTTTCTTCTTCTTCTTCGAGTTTCAATCCGAAATTCAGCCAAAACCAAGTCTAATCTTCACCAAAACCCCTCAAAATTGAGATATAAACTCCAAACCATATTCTCAATTATTTGCAACAACACCCAATCCAAACAAATAATAATTTTTGAAAACCCAAATTTCAATTCAAAGCTTCAAAGCTTTTTAATGGCTGTCAATGGTGGAATTGCTACTCTCTTTTCCTTTGCTTTGTATTACTGAAATTTGGATATAATTGCGTTTGATGTAGAAGAATTGTAGAAGATTTAGTCGTTTTTGATTTGTGAAATCAGAAAAAAGGTTTGAAACACAGTGTATCGAAAAAGCAGAGACGCTAAATTTGAAACGAAACTGACGAAGAAGATTAATGTGCGCGATTTGCATTGTGGAAGATCTGGAAGAATATTTAATTCCACTTTTTTACCGCGCCTAAATAAAAAGCTACAGTGATTCCTTATTTAATGCATTGTATATATTATGTAGAAATACTATTAGCATGAATGATAATATGCAAACTATGAACATATTTGGTATATAGTTTCATATATGGTATATATACGAAAATTTCCCTAAAAAATGGGTTATCCGGCGGATACTATGGTTATCCATATTATCCATGGCTTCTTGAATATAATTACTTTTGGGAGAATTTCTAGTCCCCAACCTTGAGTAGCCCCCAATTTGAGGCTTTAGAAATATAAAAGTTAAACCTATTAGTTATCAATTGGTTATCCATTTGGTTATCCATTTTCTAAGTAGTTATTGGTTCTTATCCAAATTTGACCTGTTTTTTAAATGTTCATTATCTAACCCATTTTCTAGTGGATAATATAGGTGGATAACTATTTTCTTCTAACCACTTTGCCACCTCTAATTCCAAGTATGTAAAAAATACTCACAAAATCAGGTAATTTCATGTAATCTATATTTACTTAAAAGGAAAGAAGTCAGCCCTACAAATTTGCCAAGTGTTCCACATATAAAATACCATGTGTTTATTTTAGGACAAATTAGTTAAAGTTAGGTAAAATTAGTTTCTCTTTTTAAATTTTGAATTTAAAAACAATTAATTAGGTATTCTATATTTTTTTAAAAAGAAGTTTTTTAAAATAAGAAGCAGTTTCTACGTATATAGTTTGAAAAGAAAAGTCATTAATAATTTAAAAACAATTAATTAGGTATTCTATATTTTTTTAAAAAGAAGTTTTTTTTAAAAGAAGAAGCAGTTTCTACGTATATAGTTTGAAAAGAAAAGTCATTTTTATAGAAGAACTACGTTTTTTGCCCAAAAAAAAAGTCATTCCTATTAAATAGGTATAGATATAGATACATTTTTCCTATTAAATAAGTATAGATACATTTTGAAATAAGAACGGCAATTGGGAACGCTATTTTTATCTTTTGCCCTAAAAATTTCATCCTCTAAATTCGGCACCTCAATCCCACGATGTCTCACCACGATATCAACTCCTTACCCACGAACTCTTCTGCCCAAGATTCCAGCAACGTGATTTCACAATTTTATCAAATCAGTTCTACTTTTACAGTATATAGTTTTGTTCTTTCTCCATCGCGTGCATATCAAACAACAATTCTAAACTACAAGAGGTAATTTGTATGATTTGTATTTCATGAACAATCTTTATTCCATGATGGAATTGTATCCCTTTAACAGATATTTTTGTGCAGTTTTAGTTTCTACTTATATTTACCAATTCCTCTGTCTATTTCAGGATATAATGGCAGCTGAAATCAATTTCGTTAGTGAAATTAAAGGCAAGTCAATGAATTGGAAGTTAAAGATTCGTATTGTTAGGCTTTGGAAAAATCCGGATCGCGATAGGCCTGACAACCTTTTTTCAATTGAACTTGTTCTGATGGATGAAAAGGTATTGTTTAAAACTTTATACTCACGTTCTATTTATCTTTTTTTACATATGCGTAAGTATATTACAGTCATATACGAAATAACTTAGTCATTTTAACTAATTGAGTTTTTTTGTAGGGCGACCGCATTCACGCAATTATTGGCAGGTTTTTTTATCCAAAGGTTCAAACAAGAAATTAAGGAAATGGATTTGTACATCATGAAGAATTTTGTGGTTTGTCCAAATAATATGAAGCTGATGACCAAAGACCACAAGTTTAAGTTGATGTTCACGCATAAGACCACTGTTGACGAATTACCTGATCCACATTTTAACATGTGTATTTTCAAATTTAAAACCTATGAGGAGCTGTCAAATCCCCAAGAATTTAACAATACTGAACTATTTGGTAATTCAGTTTCTCTCATTTTTTTCCAGTTTCATTTTACTTTGCCTTATTTGTTTTATCTTTTTAGTGCCAGTTCAAACATATCACAGAAATACATACACACCAACGTGGTCGATGTAGTGAATTCTTTGTTGAATTCTATTCACAGATAAATGACTTTTCTTTTACGGATTCATTAAATGGTATCTGCTTTGCTCACTACTGCAACATTGCAGGTGATAGCTTTAATTCCTCTTTAGTTGCAGTAGTTTGTGTAGAGCCAAAAGTCTTTAAGGAATGAGCATCATCTGAGGGAATCAAGGTATCTTTTAATCTTCAACAGTTAGCTGTTGTGAAGGAGTTGAATGGGTCAAACTATAACTAGAATTTGTCTACTGTCTATATTTAAGAGAAACGAGAGTTGTGAAGTCCGAATTCCGATTATCGAACGGAGCCGCCGACAAGAATTGCTTTGGGCGAATCCTCTGTGGGGATATCGCAATGGGATACGTGCAGGAAGCCCGAGAAAATCACGTCAAGAAGAAGGTAAATTTGATATTAAACCCCTAACTAGCCATGTACATTAATCATATATTGTCATTTGTGAAACATCAAATAGTTGTAGAATACAACCCCACCCATTACTACTTTGTGGAAATGAATGCCAATTTTGTGCGAATGTATATATTGTAAAAATTGCTCATATTTTATGTAGTTGAAGTCGAGTCTCAAATGTGAGCTTCAAATGAAAAAAAAACAATTGTTTAATCACCTCCATATTCCGCAATTCATTTTCCACATCTGTTTAAGTTTCTAATAAACCATTTGGAAAGCTGGAGTTGTAGGCCTAAGTTCTGTTTGAGTATTTTTTTTGGCATCTCAATGGTATGAGGCAGAAGGACTACTTGCTGATATATGGCACTATATGTGAGCAGTTCTCCTTTTATTTGTTTCATTGTGTTTTATACTGCTTATCAAGGACATAATCTTCTCCTCCATTGTAGTTTGTCAAATGCTTCAGTTAAAGCAAATTATGTGGAGGACATCATTTAGATTTCATGTTACATTGCATTAACCATCATATTTTGCATGTCTTATCATTAACTCTGCACATAACATAAGAATTGTGCTTATATTCACGCAGGTAGAAAATTATAACTTGCTTCTAGAGCATCCCATAAAATATACTGATAATTAATTGTTTGGTCAACTTTTTTATACTAATGATGGATTATTTGGGTTCTACCTGGTTTGGTTTCACAAGGGTGCTTTTGGTTGAAAATTGTAGAAGACTGTAGGGAGTGGCAATGCTGGATGTTACAGTCTACCTTGAAGTTAATAATCCCTCCATTGATCAGCACAGAGATATGCGTTTGGACATACATCCCATGTCCTATGAGGTGACAACTTTGTTTCTCGATTATATGTACTGTCTAACAATGGTTGACGAGTATATGTTAATTCTCTGCTTTATTTTTATGGTAGTTACTACATGAACATGCAATGAGGCAAATGTTTCTGCCGATGTGTATATTGGTTGAGATTTTGTATCATTGTTTTACTATCCCTGCAACTATGGGCGATGTGTATATGCACTTGAAGTGAATTTTGGGAAATCTACTTTAGCTTTTGCTTCTTATAATTATCCAACCTTCTCTACTAATCATGTTTTAGTGCATAAATATTGGTGGTCCCTCGGATACAATCCTATGAAATTTATATATTTATTTTTTGATTTAATTCTTTAGAATATGATCGCTAAATTTAGTCTGAAATAAAGACATATTTGTACTATATCATTTTTTTCTTTGAAATAATCCGCGCATCGCGCGGGTAAGTATACTAGTTCTATATAATAAGCATTCAGTAATAACTTTCAATAAAATGTTAAGTGAAATAACGAATTTCATGTACTCAAAGATCTTCAATTTTCTATTTCTAAATGAAATTCATCTACAAACATAACTCAACTCCCAAATATTATTTCTCAACTTTAACTTCAATTATATTTTATTTTTTTCCAGCTTCAATTGGAAGGAAAAGTTTGGGAGAGCTACCAAGCACTATTGGGCTAAGGTTTGTAAGATCAAAATAATAGGCCTTTTTTGATAGAACTTCTACAAGCCCAAATGAGCAGGTTGGACTTCAGAGTCCATAAAACTGGGACATTTGCACATATGCTGCCATTGAAATTATATCCGCATTGTATAAAAATTTATTAAATTTATCTTATTCGAATCTGAAGTAGTTCTATCTCTTTAATGCAACTTCGGACTCAAATCTTAAGTTCTTCTAACTTTCAAATACGACTTCAGAAAATTCAATGCCATACTTGAGATCTGAACATGTAATTATCTAATGTCAAGGGTATTCAAAATTTTAAATATGTACAAGAAATTACTTTGTTCTTGTTCCGTAGTATAATTTTTCGACGAGGAGAATTCAATTGAATACCTTTCGTAGCATTGCATGTGGTTCCTCTACCGTTGGGAGGTTTACCCCTATTATCTTGGACACAAAACATAACAATAAATAGTTTTAAAATCTTATGTATGATAATGAACATTACATATAAAATATAAATAATGCAGTTGTTGTAGTTGCATAAATTTTCAAGTGATTCCACGTCCACTACCCAATCGCATTCCCTACTTTTTCAACTATTTTAAAGTCTAGGTATAAGTTTGAAAAAAAAAAAAATACTTTTGACCCAAAAAAAAAAAATTGGCCAAGCTAAGTCGAAGTATGACAAAAAAAGAGTATTTGAAATTAATGAGTTAAAGCAAAAAAGTATTTTAAATGTGTGAATATGAATTTCATTTGCAAAGAAATTGGAAATTTATGAGTGAAAAATTAAAATAATTTCGAACTTGTCGTCCAAACTTCAAATTCTCTATTTCAAATTTGAAGTTGATATAATGAATCAAACAAACACGTATCAAAATAATCTAACTAAATACAAAAATTCAAATATTTGAGACCAACTCGTTTGGATTGGCTTAAAAAAAGTGGCTTTTCAGCAGAAATAACTTTTAAGCCAAAAAGCTATAAGTTGGGGTTGTCCAACTTATTATTGCTTTTGGCTTGTTTTAAGCAGTTTTTTACTTATTTTAAATATTTTTTGACTTTGCCGAACACTGAAAAAATCTAAAAAGAGTTTAAAAGCTGATTTGACCAGCTTAAAAGCCAGTCCAAACACCCTCCAAATCTGTTTTCCTCCCGTATTAAATATGAATATTAACTGCATTTACTTTTACTCTATAATCATCTTTTTTTTGAAAAAAAAATACCACCGATTCAGAATAGTTGCAGTTTATTTTACAACTGTCATAAGTCAAAATGTTCCAAACGCAGTGAGACATTCTTGGTATTGAAAAGTAATTTAATTTTAAATCTGTTTTATTCTATAGTCATATAAATACTTTGAATTTTGTTTAAATATAAACTTAATTTTTTTTCCCGCCCAATTAACAATTCACGTAAATTGAGACGTGGGAGGGAGGGAAATTTTACCTTTTTCTTCGTTTTTCTTTTTTTGGTATTTTTTTTTCATCCCATATTTATGGCCTAATGGCTCTGAAGATTCTTTTCAAGATCTGAAGCAAATTTTAATGATCAACAACAATTTTTCTTATCTTGGTCTGCTTCATTTTTCATGCTGGTTCCAGTTTTAGTAAGTTCAGTTAATTCTTGATTTTGGTTCTTGCCTTTTTTGGACTGCTTATTCTCTCTTCAGCTTAGTGTTTATCCAAATTAATGCTGTGTGGGTTTAATATTTTTTTTTATCTTTTGCTTTGGTTCAAGTTTTCATCTTTCAGCTTGTTATTAATTTTGTTTCTGCTTAAGTTCACTTTGAGTCTTCGAGCAACACTAAAGTTCTCCGTGAACGTATAGGTCACGAATTCGAGTCATGGAAATAGTGACTAATGCTTGCATTAGCGTAGACTGTCTACATCATTACCCCTAAGCTTGCGGCCCTTCCCCCGCCCCTGCCTGAATATGGGACGTTTTATGCACCGGATTACCCTTTTTTTTTCTTAGTTCAGTTTGAAATTGAACTGAAAGATTTTGACGGCAAATTGGACAAATCTTGCAATAGTTGGTGTTGTTGAATTTGTTAAGCTAATTCATTAGTGTGGTTCTTTATTTTTATTTTTTATTTTTTTTGGTTAACTTTTTTTCCCCCAATAATGGGCATATAGTGAGGTAGTTGATGGATTTTGTCACCTGGAATGATTAATGAGTTAATGTTTGGTTATCCTTTATCTGAATTCAGTTTTTATTTCTTAAATTTGTTGAGGTATGGTTTTTAATTACAATAACAACAACAATAACAAACCCCGTATATTCCCACAAGTGGATGTGGGGATGGTAGCGTGTACGCAGACCTTACTCCTACCTAGTGAGGATAGCAATTTGAAATCTTCAGAATGTTAATTTTAAATTTTCACAATTATAATTGAAGCAAGAATGTGCTTATTCTTGAAATAGATTGTAAACTTTTTATCAATGGAGCAGATAAAGTTAGAAAAAATGACTTGTCTAATAATGTACTCATTGTTTTATTGTAGGTTTGCATGCTGTTTCTTAGAACTGGAAGTTTGTGTAACTTCTTTCTATAGATTTCTTGGGTGGAAATTGGGCTAAAGTTCTGAACTTTGAGATGGCAAGCATAGAGGAAGCGCTAAAAGCTAAAGCGAATGCTGAAACGAAATATGCAGAGAGAGATTTTCTGGGTGCCAAAAACTATGCTTTAAAAGCTCAGATGTTGTGCCCTCATTTAGTGGGCATATCACAAATGGTGGCCGCATTTGGGGTTCATAGTGCTGCAGCAACGAAGGTCAATGGAGAATTTGATTTTTACGCGATACTGGGATCAGATCCATCTTCAAACAGGGCTATGTTGAAGAAACAATATAAAAAGCTGGCCGTGTTACTCAATCCTGATAAAAATAAAAGATTTGGAGCTGATGCCGCATTTAGGCTTGTTTCTGAAGCGTGGAGAGTATTGTCGGATGGTGCTAAAAGAAGCTCGTATGATCGGAGGAGAAGTTTATTTACAGTACATGCTTCTGGTGTTGGAAACGTTGGCAATTACTCCAATTTTTCACCTTCTCATAACAGACTTGACACGTTTTGGACTGTTTGTACCTCTTGTCAGGTTCAGTACGAATATCATAGGAAGTATGTGAACAAAAGACTGTCCTGTAAAAACTGTTACGGGGTTTTTATTGCTGTTGAAACAGGTCTGGCCGCGGTAAGTGGTGCCTATCCAAATAGCAATTGGCGTTGTTCACGGGAGAATGGATATGGAAGCCATGGTCGTAACGTTGCATATGTTCCCATAATGTCTATTTATTCAGCGAGTAATGGTGTTTCAGAACATCGTTCTGGACATGGTTCTGAAAATATGGTCGCTGATGTTGTTCTCAACGGGTATTCTGTGTGCAATGAGCAACCATTCAGCCGACGTGGTAGGCCTTCTAAGAAAAGAAAACTTCTTGTTGAAAGTACATATTGTTATAATGGTGAAGTGGCTCTAGCAACTGCTACAGAAATCACAAGTGCAGATGGAAACAAGAACGGGAATATGAAACAAGATGCTAAGCTTCCTACTCCGTCGGAAACTTCAATCCGTAGATGTTTAACAGCTCCTGCATTTGATGTAAGACAATTATTAATTGACAAGACAAGAACATATATCCGCAAGAAACTAGAACAGATCAGGTCGGCTGCAGAAACTGGCTCATTGACGATAACTGTCCCGGACTCTGACTTCCATGATTTTGACAAAGATAGATCAGAGGATTGTTTCAAACCGAAGCAGATATGGGCTTTATACAACGAGGAAGATGGTATGCCCCGCTTGTATTGTCTGATCCGTGAAGTCATCTCTGTGAATCCGTTCAAGATTCACATCAGCTACTTGAGTTCGAAATCAGACAGTGAATTTGGACTAGTAAATTGGTTGGATTCTGGTTTTACCAAGTCATGTGGAAATTTTAGGGTCTTGAACTCTGAAATCATTGAGCAGGTCAATATATTTTCTCATCTTCTAAGTGGGAAGAAGGCTGGTAGAGGAGGTTGTGTTCGAATCTATCCGAAAAGTGGGGATATTTGGGCTGTATATCGTAATTGGTCGCCAGACTGGAACAGAACAACCCCTGAGGAAGTGAGATGCCGGTATGAAATGGTGGAGATCCTTGATGATTATTCTGAGGAGCTTGGTGTCTCTGTTGCTCCATTGGTTAAATTAGATGGATTCAAGACGGTATACCGAAGAAAAATGGACAAGGATTCCCTTCGACGGATCCCAAGAAGAGAGATGTTACGATTTTCACATCAAGTTCCGTCTTGTTTACTGAAACGGGATGGCGTAAACTTGCCAGAAGGGTGCTGGGATCTTGACCCTGCTGCAACTCCTGAAGATTTACTTCATGGAGTAAATGAGGTGAAACAAGGACCTAGTCTAGCTGAAAGCTATGATCTCAATGAGACATCTCTGGCAGAAACCAAAACATTAGTCAGAGAAAAGCTTGAAAAGACAGAATATGTTGGTATTCCGGACAAGTTCACTGGGGCTACGTGTGACTTGTAAACTAAAAACTGTTCAGACCTTCTACCAGGTTTCCTGAATCTGTGACAGAAGTGTAGGTGAAGTAAATGCCGAGCAATAGGAAAGTAGAGTTTGAGATTCTTTGAGGTGGTATGTATATGTTTAGCTTTTCCCATGAAATGAAGTTTTAGTTCTTCGCACAAGTTGTCCTATCATCTCGATATTAACTCTATCTTGTTGCAGCTCATTGTACTTTGCCCTCATTTTTGGTGACTCTCGTGTACTGATTTCTCAATATATTCACTGCTATCCACTTGTATATCACACCATTGTTTGCTGATTTTGATTTCAACCTGAAGTACACTATCGAAATCTTTGAGATTCTTTGAGGTGGCATGTATATGTTTAGCTTTTCCCATGAAATGAAGTTTTAGTTCTTCACACAATTTGTCTTATCATCTTGATTTTAACTTTATCTTGTTGCAGCTCATCGTACCTTGTCCTCATTTTTCGTGACTCTCTTTATGTACTGATTTCTCAATCATTTTTCGCTATCCAGTTGTATATCACACCATTGTTTGCTGCTTTTGATTTGAACCTGAAGTACACTATATTGAAGTCTATGATTTCTTTCATTTGGCTACACAAACTACATATATGATTTCGCTTGCAGTTGAGCAATAAATGAGATATGGTACTCTCATCAGTTTAAATCCAGCATTCACTTTTACACATGGTACATCCTTGCTTACTCGCTTCTTGCTCAACAACTAGACAAATTACACAAAGTGCCTAGCTCGCTTCCCTAGCTAAAGGTGAAATTGTGATGCACGCTGGAATTTCTTATAATGCCATATTCAGCATCTTGAGTACTCAACAAAGTTACTGATTTCTCCTCAGTAGCCAATGTCTCGGAATTCTTTATGGAAAACTGGATGATGCCAATCTACTTGTTTGAGCTTTACTTCAACAGGGGCGCAACGTACGTCTGAAGTGTCTCATATTGGTCATCTGGTTTTAGTTGCTTTTCTTATAATATCTTTTGCCAATAATGGGGAGTTGAAGAAATTGTTGTGGATGTACTTGCTTCCTCTTGTGAATTTACACAAAGTAAATGATTTTTTAAGTGTTAAACTTTTAGTTTCCCATGTTTGATGTTAAATTTTGTACGTTCAGCCCATTCTTAAGAGTAATATAGTTCTAAAGATAATCTAAATATAGCACATTTTCTTATATGAATTACTACCAGGATCAAAATTTACACTTACCAGCGCGAATGGTTGAATCAAAGAGTAAAAAGGTCTAAGGTGACAAACCAACAGTCACAATGTTCTCAGGCAAATTAATGCATGGTTGTTTTGGTGTCCATACATAGTAGGGGTTTGGATGATATTTGAGTTGAGAAAAAAAAATCTAGAGCATGATTTCTATCTGAAATATGGAATGATGCTGTCAAATTTACTTTAAAATATCTAAGCTTGATAATCGAGTTAGTTTGACTCTGCGTTTTCATTTTCTTCTTTCTAACAACTCGCTGAAACTGTATTATGAAGTGGTGAAGCAATATAAAAGGATCGCATGATTGTTGCAATAGCAAAATTAGCTACAGCATGCAGAATTGGAACTGTGTAACCCAGAAAATGTTGATATTGGGGCTTCTTTTCTCCCAAAAATGAAACAAGACATATGATTTGAAAGACCAAATATAACATTTGGATTAAGGCATATACTCCTAGTGGCAAGAGTTACCACCTGTAAGCATATCAAAGTGGAGTAAAAGGTAACTGATAGAAATGCATTTTCACTGCATTTCTAGAAGATTATTTGGAAAACAAAAGCTTTCACAACAGAGCAGAGAATCCAGTATAGCTTATTAACCTGCAAAAGTTAGTCAAAATTCCACTAAGGCGCGTATAGTAACTATAAAAATACACTTAAAGCATAAGCTATGCACATTCAACTAATACTTACAATAGGCAGCTGATATTTCATTGAACTCCCTACTTTCAGATAATTCCAGAAAACAAGAGAACTGAACAAAACATTCTTTCGCTAATCCACTAAAACATCAGTAGGAGAACAAGAAAAGGACTGCTAATATAAATGTTACTCTTCTGAGAAAACAGAAACATGCTTCAAATAACAACCTGAAAACCAGACTTATTACACAGATGGTGATATAGTTTACCTAATTAACCATTTATCTATACCACTCATGCATGAATGACCTGCAACACTATGTTATAAATCACAACGTACAAAACCAAGACGATTCTCTGACGACTGCTCGTGTCCAGGAAGAACTTAGGTGGAATGGCATAAAATATGTTTAAACTTATATAACTAAGCTTTTCGATGAAGGTAATGCTAAGTTCAAAGATGTGCTGGTGGTATACCAATCCAATTAAGGCCACCAACATGAACAATTGTTTGACACCAATTAGCCTCCCTCTGAAACCAATTTGGCATTCCTTGATATTTTAGAGGCCTAAAGACAGCATTTTGTGGATCATATGCAACCAAATTGCCACATCTATAATCCACCAAGAGGTCTCCATTCTTCAACAGGCATAAAACTTTCACATGTTCCATGACAGAAATTGGAGTTGGTGTATAAGCCCCAATTATGTACTCCTTTACCCAAGAATCTTTCACATTGTATTCTTTCATTACCCAAATTTCTATTCCACACCCTTTTTGGTGAGGCAAAGTTATAGCAACAGCAAGAGAACCTCCAAGAACTGCTAGATGGAAGCTATCAGTTCTCGGGTCAGCATTAAAATCAACCTTTGGAACTTCAGCAAATACCTCATCAGCTAAATCAAAGGAAACAATAAGCCTATCATGACATCCATTATACATTCCAAACCGAGTCAACCAATGCATCTTCCCGTTTAACATAATTCCTTGTGAGTCAATCTGGTAAGCAGCTTCCCCAATACTTCTCCAACTGTTGCCACTAAGACTAAATACTTGAACTTCTGAAGTCCCAAAATAAGAGCGAGGGCCATACTCATATGTGATCTTGATCACCTTGTACTCTTTGGTAACAGGACTAAAACCAAATTCAAACGCGATGATGTTCCCTGCAAACATTCTATTGATATAGGCAGGTGCTTGTACTTGCCTGTAAAAGGACTGTACACATAAAGTGCATTTCCAAACCGACATTTTTTTCTTATGCACAATAGTCCATGACATGAACCAACCACTACTCCATCTTCTGGAAAGCACTCTTTGAGCATGCTGACAGAAACTTCTTTTTCCCTACCAAGATCAGAAAGTTCAACAAAGCAAGGATCACCCGCTAGAAAAATAATGCAAGGATCGTTCTTCACTGCACGAGACAGGTGCAAATTCACAAGCTCTGGATCATGAGACAATCTATAAAATGATTTGCGAACAAACTTGAATTGGACTAGAGATGTTATGGGAAGCCTAGAAGCTATGTCAACGACAAGTTCTTGAGGTAGGGAATCAAATCCATATCTTGTGGGAGCTTCATCAGATTGACACTTCTGTTTGTTGGTTTCTGTATCCATTGGCACATACAAAAAATAGTTACACAAAGATAATACAGACTTGAAAAGGGATGCCTGGATTTTTAGGAACTCTGGTAATTCTTATAGTCGATAAGCTAAAGGGTTTGTTCTTTGAATGTCTGTTAGTATTACTGCATTTATTTGGAAAATCTTGATAATAGTTGATAACTTTTCATTTCTCCAAATGTCTTTTACTAGTTTTTTCAAGACTAATCTTTTAGGATCTTGTAATGCATTTAGTGCCTATGTTGTAAGTTGTGCACAAGACTTTTTTTTTTTTTTTAAGCAAATCCACTAGGCAGGTGCCTAGGGCTAGTTTTATTAATAATAAAAAGCAAAAAAGAACCACAGAGGAAGAAGACTGTGGAGTTGATTTTGCGGAGGATTCTACTGATGAAGGTGAGAGGTGTAGTGGTGATGAGGAGATGTTATCAGTAGGTTCTCTATCATTTCCAAAAAAAGGAAGTTCTTCTAAGTTAGGATCAGGAAGCAAGCTTAATGCTAAAGCTCCTGATTTTATTCCTAAGACTAGGCAGCAAGATAAGACACCTGGAACAACTTTGCAAGAATTTTCAGTAGCAAATCAGCTTGGGCAGTAGCAGATCTTGTCGAGCAGTACAACTGCTAGTCTTCCAGTAATAAATCTACCTGGACAGCAGCAGCAGCAGTTGAACGCAAACACTGAGCAGCAGTTGAATGCAAGCAATCCTGGAGCAAAGTCGATTGGGCAGCAGCAGTTTGCAAACAAGTCTGGAGCAATGTCGACTGGGCAGCAGCAGATTTTAACGACCAATTCAGCTGCTATTTGTGGGGCTGATCAATATGCAGTAACATTATCAAGTCATGGACAACAGCAACTTAATGTAAACAATTCAGAAGATGTACAACAACAGCAGGTTACAAGAGTTTCAGCGATCAGTGTGGAGGAAAGAAAACTTCTGGATGAAATGGTAATTTCTAAACCTGCAATTTTGTTAAATCAAACTGCTTTGAGCACTGGACAGGTGAGTAAAACCAGAAAGAAGGTGAAAGACATGGAGCTGAAGCAAAACAACACAACCTTGGCAAATGTTCATGATACAAAGGCCTTGATGACGCAAGGTTTTGAGCAGGACATGGTCAATCCGGTGAAACTGGGCAGAGATATATATGAAGAGGGAGAGGAAGATGAAATTCTAAGTAAATGTCGAGCAGAGGCAGCAAGGAAAGGTGACTTATCACCTATGTATAGCGATAAAAGGAAGAAGACACACACAAGAGAAAAAAGTTGGGACGGCAAGATGAGTGAAGATGTGAACATAAGGCGACTCCCAATGAGAGTTGCCAAACAAAAACAGGTTTATCCAACTACGTCAACAAAGTCCACTCGTTCAAAGAAGAAAGCATGAAATTTGAAGACATTTTGAAGAGGGTAGAGGATGAAGACAAGCGTCTATAAGTTGAAGACTTCACAAAATTAGAGAAGAGAGGACATCACTGTTATTTCTACATATTCTTATTCTACCATCACATTAGCATAGTTTTATGTAATATCATCACAGAGTAGATAAACTCTGCGATGATCATAGAATATCTAGTTTTAGCTAGTTCTTTCTTTTTACATGCTGGTTAGTAGGTAGGCTTTTTCTATGCCTCAATAGGATTAGTAAGGTAAGGTTTAGCCCAATTTCTGTTGCTCTTGTCGTATGCCTTTGGAAAGATATCCAAATGGCTATGAGATCATATGCCCTCATGAGACTTTGCCGGTAGCTACCCCATGATTCCTCTACATGAGGCTGCCATAAGGGCAATGTGAGGCACAAAGGAGTGATTATATAGCAAAGACATAGAGGCAACACTACTGGTGCTATTGTCCCCCTTATTTGCACAAGACTCTTGAGTTGCTCTTTTTAGTATTTAAATAGAGATGTATCTAAATAAAGATGTATTAGTTGTAAACGGACCATTGGCTTTAAGTTGTCAGTATATTTGAGTTTTTTCTTAAATATTTATTTGAACTAGTATGTATTAAACCTAAAATACAATCCAAATCTCTTATGAATTAAAATCCGACTATAAATTTTTAAATGTCCACAAATATACTCTACTTCAAGTCTTGTCAGAATGTTAACTTGTCATACCTAAAAGATTAGAGCTGAACAGGGGCGGCCTTTCCATAAAACAAGTAAAGCAACCGCTTTAGGCCTCATATTTGTGGGGGCCCCATTTTTTGTTACACCTAATAGTATGTATAAGTTTAAAAAGAGTTCTCTAAAGTGAAAATGTTTGATTTCTTTCTTTAACAAATATAGAGAAGAATGATTTGCAACTGCAATGATTTCTACCAAGGAAATTGCACTTGAAATGAATATCGAATCCGAATTTCACAAGAAACGTGTGATATATAGGAGTAATGTGCAATGTTGATAATGAAATCTGAAAATCTTTCGAAAAGTTCTTTAGAGTTGATTACTTTTATATATAATAGACAAGGTTATTTTTTCACTTCAAAATATATTTAACAATTTGAAGCATATGAAAATAGTACAATTAGAAGATAACAGTTTAACTGATACACTTAATCAAATAAAAAGATTTAATTCTTTTTCAAATGCCTAAATTGCTTATGGAATAATTTTAATAACTCATGTTACCGTTACTTCAGCGGAGAGAAGTTTTCAAAATTAAAATTGACAAAATCTTACTTAAGAACAAAAATGTCACAAGAAAAGTTAAAAGGATTAGTTATATTGTCAATTGAGAAATACTTATTAGGAGTTATTGTTTGTAAGAGAGTTATTTATAACTTTGTATCTAATTAGAAAAGCTAAGAAATAGATTTCAAATAAATAATAATAAAAAGAATTAAAAAATTAAGGCCCCTCATATAGTTTGGCTTTAGGCCACAAAATTGGTCGGGCCGCCCCTGGAGGTGAATTACTAATGCAGAGGCTAAGAAAAAAAAAATTCTGATTTAGATAATATTGGCCCAATGACCTCATGCGGTTAGAAAGTTTTAACCATAGGACCTTCACAAAATTGCATCGGTTGTCCTCATAAAGGACTGGTCTTTAAATATTGTCACCATTTTTAAATTTATCACAAAAAATAGGCTTTTTCACCACCAAGAACACCATGATTTTTCAATATTTGAAGCTTGGAATTCTTATTTTGGGATGAAATTGAAAGGTAATGATTCATCATTATAGGACGAGAGTGGGGGACGGCCCTACACGCAGGCAACAACAGAACCGGCTCTACAAAGTCAAAATCGAATCTTTCTGTTGGCTTTCCCATTTCATTCGTGAATAATAATTCAAGGGCGTGAAGCGAGTACTTCTAGCTGCTTCGCCTGCTTCTTATTATGGCGGCTATGTTTTCCTGGCGAAAATGAACGAAAAGCGAGATGAGCGTGCTATTTTCAAATGGATTGATAGATAGCCTGATTTGTATTAAAATCATTCTGAGTGTTGATAATTTCTACTTAATTTTTTTAGTTCGAACAATGATTTAGTGATTTGACACTAAAGTTTTACGCCATTTAACATCCTTTCACGGATTCAGAGAATATGAAGATGCGGAAACCTGTTGTTACTTCTAAAATGAAGGCAACGAAAATGCCTCAGTCCCAAATATATTATAATTGGATATATAATTTCATACACGATCTTATCTAATCCGGTGGACATATTGATGAATAGTGATAATAATTTGGGGTCTATGGACTTGGTAATGTTGATGTGCATAATTGGGCATGTCAATTAGCTTTTGACTAAAGTTATCGGCAAGAGATAGTACGTTAGGTACAAGATTTAGAGTATCCCTAGTTTCAACCCAGATGAGTATAATAAATATAGATGATTCATATAGCTGACCCCAACTAGTTAGCGATTGAGCAACAATGTTTTCTATTTTTGTAAATCTTTGGAATTGGCTTATCCAACTAAAACAACAACTAGCATGAGATCAAGAAAAGGACTGTTAAACATCTAAACATTTGCCTGTAGCTGTAGTTAAGCATAAATGACCTATAGTTTGATGTTATAAGTCACAATTCATAAAACAAAGATGACTCTAAGTCTTGTTAATTGATTCAGAAGATTACATTATCTTTAAACATGCATTGAAAATCCAAATCATCTTCTGTATGTTACACATAACTATTCTACATAACAAAGCAACAACGTACTAAGAATGAAAAACAAAGGGAAATGACTTTAAAAGGACACATGCAACTAATATATGCTTAAACATATATGACAAATTATTTGTAGTTCAATCAGCAGGTGGGATATCAATCGAATTAAGGCAACCCACAAGAACACACGTCTGAAACAAATTAGGCATTCCCTTAAATTTTAGAGTCCTAAAAATACCATTTTTAGGAGCAATGAAACCAAAAAATAGCTGTCCATTCTTCAAAAGGTATAGAACTTTTACCAATGGTTGCAAATTTCGAGTGGCAGAGTTTGGAGTTGGTGTATAAGCTCCAATTATGAACTCCTTCACCCATGATTCTTTCACATTGTATTCCTTCATTACCCAAATTTCTATTCCTCCACCATTTTGGCGAGGTAAAGTTAGAGCAACGACAAGACAATCTCCAAGAACTGCTAGATGAAACTTGTGAATTCTTGGCTTGGCAACAAAATCAACCTTTGGAACTACAGCAAATACCTCCTTATCTAAATCAAAGGAAGCGATAAGCCTATCACGACGCCCATTATACTTACCAAATTGAGTCAACCAACGCATCTTCCCGTTTAGCATAACTCCTTGAGAACTTGGATCATAAACAACTTCCCCAACACTTCACCTGTTGCTACCAAGACTAAATACTTGAAGTTGAACATCTGATTTACCAAAGTAAGGAGGTCGATATCTACGATAGCGCCAAGAGACATGATTATACATATTTGCATAATTTATGATCTTGATCACCTTGTACTCTTTGGTAATAGGATGAAAACCAAATCCAAGAAACACTTTTTGCACCTCAAATTTCTACTGATTTATACAGCTCTTTGTAGTCCCTTGTAAAAGGATTACACACATAAATTTCATTACTAAACATAGAATGACATATGCACAATAACCCATGACATGATCCAACCACTCTAAATTCAGGCACAGAGTTAGCAAAAGGGATGCTGATTTTCCTGACAACCTCTTCCTTATCATAATCAGAAAATTCAAGAAAGTAGAGCTGATTCCTTAAAGGATAATCCGCGTGAAAAATAATGCAAGGATTGTTCTTTACCGCACGAGACAGGTGCAAATTCACAAGCTCTGAATCACGTAACAAGTTGTAAAAAAACTTGCAAGCAAACTTGAATTGGACTGAAGATGTTATTGGGAGCCTGAAAACTATGTCAAGGACAATTTCTTGAGGTAGGGAATTAAATCCATATCTGGGGTGAGTTTGTTCAGATTGACACTTCAATTTCTTGGTTTGTATATCCATTGACACAGAAAAATGGGCAAAGAAAGATTAAGTAGAAGGGCTTGGAAATGGAGGAAGATGTGCTGAGAAAACAAACTAGGAGGCGTTGAAATTTAGGAACTCTTGTTGTACTACTTAATTTCACAAAGAAAGTAGTACTATATTCTTTTGGACGGCTAAACTTATCCACATCGATGATTACACTAATTCAATAAATAAATTGGGTCAGAACAAGAAGTAGCTAAAGTTTAATTGGTTTTGAAACATCGGCAAAAGCTTGATTATTAGCAGTTCAAAAAGTGACTGAATTGTAGATAAGTTTAGCCGTCCAAAAGAATATACAACTCTTAATAAGATAATTTATAGGCATACAAATATCTATGGCTAGCTTGTTTTAGACCACAAATTTCAAAAAAATTCTTTTCGTGCCAAGTCAAATGGTACCACACAAATTGGGACGAAGGAAGAAGAATGGAAACATCATAAGGATAATTATACACCTGGATGAAAACACAGAAACCTTTTGAAAAATTTATCATACTCTGGGCAACTTAGAATACAGGGACTACATGAAATGTTACTGGAGGTAGAGCTGACACGGTTGAAACTTCATGAAAATTTTGAACGTCAAAATACAGTCTAGGAGTTTCACTTATAGAAATATTCTTCATATAGTAAATCTTATTTGAACTGAGGACACAATCATTATGTTGAAACTCTATGAAGTTCAAAAGAGGTATCATGATTGAATATGTACTTATATCACGCAAGATACCTATTTTAAAATTTATACTTTTAGTGTGTGTGTCTATATATATATATAATTTAATTAATTAATTCCGATTGATCCATTAATATTATTTCAAACTATGCCAATTCTAACTATAAGAAGAAATTAAATGCAGCTTGAACTGCCATAGTTCAAAGCTCCAAGAATTTTAGTGTGGAGTTTGAACTGCTTTTGTAACTTTTTTTCGAAATTCAATTGTAATGGAAACTTAGATTAAATAGAATAATTAATAAGGGAGAATAACATGCTAACAATAAATATAATATATACCCAAACCCTTAATTTTTTTTTTTTGGTAATAAAAGATTTATTCAATAAACGCTAAGAGTTATTACAACAAGAACTCAGTCTAGGCCACATAGTGCCAAGACTGACTCTTTTTAGTGCATGAAAAGTAAAGATAGGCGGTACATCAAAAACTTGCAAGTTACAAAAAGTGTCCAGGCTGCATCCATTTTTAGCTAATAGGTCCGCTACTCCATTAGCCTCTCTATAGATGTGTTTCAGCTGTGGATCATTCGCCCTCCGCAATAGGTACCTGCAGTCATCAATTAAATTTTGATAGAGACAGTTGTTAGATTTTAGAAGGTTTAATAGCTCTATGCAGTCCGTCTCTATTACTAGTGGAAGGAGTTTCTTTGTTAGTGCTATTTTGACTCCGTGAAGGAGGGCTAGAACTTCCATGTAGATATTGGTGGCATAATTTAATCCCATATTAAAACCTAATATCCAATTCCCCCTCTCATCTCTAAACACTCCTCCTATTTCCCCCGTTCCTGGGTTACCCGTACAGGCTCCATCTATATTAAGCTTGTAGAAATTTGGATTGTGAGGTTCCCATTTTACATAAATGGTATCTTTAACAGGTTTTAGAAGATTGTTTTTTGCCAAGTAAAGGAATTCGATGGCCCTGTTGATGGGTTGGCTTTTGTTAATGGGTGTTATATTTTTACCAAAGAGGATACCATTCCTAAAATTCCAGATATGCCATAAGAGGAATGGGAGAAAGTCTGACCAACGGAGGAACTTGTCAAAGGATTCTTTTGACAGGAGTTTCTTTTTAAGCCAGATTTGAAGCAAGTCTTTTCCTTTGGGATTTAGGTCAAAGGGATGTTTTGAATTAATTTGATACCAGATTTGCCTAGAGTAGTTGCATCGGAAGAGGATGTGCTCTATATTCTCCGTCTCTTTATTGCAAATATTACAAGTATCTTCGTGGCAAATCCCTCTCTTTCTTAGCAATTCTTTAGTGGGTAGTCTATCCCAGAAGATTGTCCACAGGAAGAATTTCAATTTATTTAAAGAGTTTATTTTCCATATCCAGGCTAAGTCCTTAGTAGTGCCCGTGGATCCCGAGGCAGCTTCATATGCTGCTTTGATAGAAAAGCAGTTGTGATTTTTGGAATTCCAAGTGTATGTATCCCTAAAGGGGCCATTTTGTTTTATGTAAGTGCAGTTTATTTTAGAGACTATGTCCGGGGGAAGATCAAATGATAGATTCGTGAGGTCAAAACTTCCATTTTTAATGAGATAAGACAGTTTTTTGTTAAGTTCCCCAGCTTGAACGGGGCCTTGGATGGATTCCCTAAGCGTTCCTGATTGATTAATCCAATTGTCTTGCCAAATATTAATATCTTTTCCATCCCCTATTAACCATTTAGTGTTGGCTTTACAAATTTCACTACCCTTCTTGATAACCTTCCATGTGTGGGAGCCCGTATTCGTGTTTTTTCTGTGATTGTATTTATTATGAATAATTTTGGCCCATAAGTTTTCTTTCTCTTCTTTGTATCTCCATGCTAAGGCTGTATTGAAAGAGGAGTTTTTCATATGGGTATTAGGTATTCCTAGACCCCCTTGCTTCTTAGGCATTGTGACTATACTCCATTTAACTAGATGGCATTTTTTCTTATTCTCAGTGCTACCTCAGAGGAAGTTACGTTGTGTTGCATCAATCTTATTTAGGATAGCTTTGGGGAGATCATAGATCTGCATGACGTGGTTTGGAATTGCGGCTAGGGTGGCTTTTATGAGGGTTGTCCTACCCGCTATATTAAGGAATTTAGTTTTCCAGCCTGTTAGTCTATTATTGAGTTTATCCAGGATAGACTGGAAGTCTTTTTTTGTGGGGTTAGTGTTAGGCATAGGGAAGCCTAGGTATTTCCCAAAGTTATCAGTGTAATTCATAGAGAACCAACTGCTGATGTGGCTTTTTTTGCTTATAGGAGTATTCTTGGAGAACACAATTTTTGATTTCTCAAAATTTATTGATTGGCCCGAAGCATTACAGAATTTAGTGATAGTGTCAATGATAGAGCTGTAGGTTTTTTGGTTGGCTTCAGCTAGGAGAATGAGATCATCCGCGAAGAAGAGATGTGAGAGTTCCGGGCCTTTTGGGCTAATTTTTATTGGGGTCCATCGGCAGCAGTCAATCTCGTGGTCAATTAACCTGGAAAACATCTCCATGCATATGATAAAGATGTATGGTGATAGGGGGTCCCCTTGTCTGATTCCCCTAGATGGTTCAAAGAACTCCGTTCTAGATCCGTTAATCAGGATAGCATTTGAGGTAGTAGAGATACAGGACATAATGAGTTTTATAAGGTCTGGAGGGAAGTTAAGGGAGTCTAGAGAAAATCTGACGAAGGACCATTCTATTTTGTCGAATGCTTTTTCCAAATCTATTTTAATCATCATTTTTGGTTTTTTCCCTTTGGAGTTCTTGAAATGATAAAGAACTTCATTGATGATTAGAGCATTATCCGCAGCCTTTCTTCTTTTTATGAAGCTAGTTTGGGTAGGGTGGATAAGGGTGGGCAGTAGTGTTTTGATGCGGTTTATGATAATCTTAGTGACAACTTTGTAAGCAGTGTTACAAAGGCTTATGGGTCTGTATTGCCTAATGGTTTCTACATTTTCGCTTTTAGGGATTAGGCATACTAGTGTATTATTCATACTATTAAGCATTCTTTTATCTGAGAAGGAATCCTGGCAGAATTTTATGAGAAGATTGCTGGTTTCTTTCCAAAACTTTTGGTACAGAATCGGATGGAGTCCATCCGGCCCTGGCGATTTATAAGGTTTGAAGGAATCTAGTGCCCTCCTAATTTCTTCTATAGAGGGGATACTACTAAGGGAGATATGGTCCTGGTCCTTAATAGTAGAGCTGTAGGAGAGGTGATTGTTTTTGAGCAAGGATTGGTTGTGGTTTGTGGTGTAGAGCTTTTTATAGAATTCAATAATAAGTTCCTTGATGGGTTTTTGTTCTTGAATCCAATTTCCAGCTTCGTCTCTTAAACAACTAATCCTGTTTTTCCTTCTTCTTTGCATTGTGGTGATGTGGAAAAATTTTGTGTTTGCATCCCATCCTGGATCCATTGGATCCTGGATTTGAGTTTCCAGAATTTCTCCTCTTGTCTGAGTACGCTATTGTACTCATGCAGGAGACCGTTTTCTAGGTTTATTAGGAATTGGCTATGGGGATAGTTTGGAGAATTCTGAATTCCATTTAGTCTAGCTAATAGGGTACTTTTTTTAAAAAAAATATTGCCGAAAGTAGTTTTGTTCCATTCTATAGCATACAGACTAAATTTCTCTATAGCTATTGAGATATTAGGTTGGTTCGACCAAGAGTTATCCACTAGAGACAATGTACAATTATATATTGTTGTTGTTCTTGTTATTTAGGCTTGCATAGTTTCCTCATGTGCAATTCATATTTACTTAGAGCTCGTTTGGACATAAAAAAAATTCCACTTTTTTTCGAAATTTTTTTAATTTTTTTCGAAATCAGTGTTTGTCCATAAAATTTTCAATTTTCACTTGAAGATGAATTTTGGAATTTTTCAAAAATTTGAAAAACTCCAAAAAGCTGTTTTTCAAAATTTTCCCTCATATCACTCACAAAATTTCAAAAACAACACAACGTTATATTCATGTCCAAACACAACTCTAATTACCAAATACCATTTTTACTTGAAATTTCTTTTCAGTTTTTTTTAAATTTTACATTTCTTATGTCCAAACGCCTGCTTAATGTTGCGATAGTTGCTCACTTCTTATTTAGATTTAGTGACACTCCTTCGAATGACATATCATGTTCAGAAGTTAAAGACCACATAATAAGTGTATTGTTGATATAACATATACACATTTAATTTAAATCCATAAAATTCAAAAAACTTTTTAAAATACTTAACTTCATCTCAAACTGAAACACATAAAATGAAATAATATTTTTAAATGAGTGGATATATTAAGGGTTAAATAATTGAGAATTTGGTGCAAATAAAAAAAAAATGATCCATGCATTGGGGTGGAAAATGCAAAATAACTAAAAAAATGTTATAAAATAACGACTGTAAAGTAAATAAACTAAAGACAAGTAGAGTGTCACGATCCGGATTTTCCATCCTCGGGGGTCATGATGGCGCCTACTCGTAGTAGCTAGGCAAGCCATTTTGATTACTTTTCCATTAATAAATAATTCTTCTTAACAATTTATGACAACAATATAAAACAAC